CCTGTGGATGGCTGTCTGCCCTTGATGGGTCCCTGAGTGTCTGGCTATGTCCCCTGAGTGCTCACGGGGGTGCCCTTGTCTTTCCCTGGTGGTGGATCCCGAGTCTTGGTGGGTTGAGTCAGACTGCCTATGGGTGCCTGTCTGCCCGTGATAGGAATCTGACTGTCTTGATCTGTCAGCTGACTGCCCATGGGTAGACCCATGTTGGTTTCTGGAGCTGGACCCAGAATTTTCATAGGTCATTGCGAATTCTCTACCTGAATCTTCTGAATGTCCTTTGCTGCTGCTGGCCAGACTCATGCTGGGTCCCTGATGTCTGCTTGCTCTGGATCCAGAGTACAGTTGTCCATGTTCAGTGCCTGAATGTCTGGACCTGTCTGTAGACTGTTCACGCTGTGATTCTGGTCTTCCTCTTGTGCGTGATGTTGACTGTCCATGGTAGGAGTCACTATGTCCCCGAGAGGATGGCTCTCCACCATGAGACCCTGACTGTCTAGAGGTATCTATAGAGTGTCCATGACTAGATCCTTGTCTCCTACTACCGGTGTCTGAGCGTCCATGGCCAGACTCAGACTGCCCATGATTGTTTCTCTGCCCTCGATGAGACTCAGAGCGTCTAGAGCTGTCTTGTGCATGGCCGTGTTGGGTTCCTGAGCCAGATCCAAACTGACTCTGCGAATCTTCGGTGTGCCCTTCGCTGTCTCTGTCCTGACTGACACTGGACCCTCGGTTTCTCAGTGGCCTGAATTCAGATGACGATTGTCCATGCCCAGACTGTGATTGCCTAGAGCCATATGTCCAAGTGGATGGTTGCTGGTGGCGGGATCCTGACTCAGAGTGCCCACCATCAGCTGCCTGACCCTCATGGGATCCTGCATGTCTAGAGCTGTCATGTGCCTGCTCATGGCGGGATCCTTGTCTCCCCCTGGTACTGGGTTGAGACTGTCCGTGGGCAGAGTCAAACTGTTCTTGGGAGGGTATCGTGTAGAAGTAAGACCCTGAGTGGTCAGGACTGCCATGTGCACTGCCGTGTTGTCTCCTTTGATTGGACCCGGACCATTCCTGGACTGACCCTGACTGAATATCTGAGTCTTCTGATTGTCCTTCACTGTCACTGGCCTGATTGAAACTGGATCCCTGGTGTCTGGTGTTACCAGATCCGGAAGAGATTTGTCCATGTCCAGTTTCCCAGTGTCTGGAGCTATCCCGTGACTGCTCATGGGGGTGCCCTTGTCTTTCTCTGGTGATGGATCCCGAGTCTTGGTGGGCAGAGTCAGGCTGCCCGTGGATGGCTGTCTGTCCTCGATGGGACCCTGAGTGTCTGGCTATGTCTCCTGACTGCTCATGGTGGCGCCCTTGTCTTTCCCTGGTGGTGGATCCTGAGTCTCTGTGGGCAGAGTTAGGCTGCTCATGGATGGCTGTCTGTCCTCGATGGGACCCTGGGTGTCTGGATATGTCTCCTGACTGCTCATGGTGGAGCCCTTGTCTTTCCCTGGTGGTGGATCCTGAGTCTCTGTGGGCAGAGTCAGAGCGCCTGTGGATGACTGTCTGCCCTTGATGGGTCCCTGAGTGTCTGGCTATGTCCCCTGACTGCTCACGGGGGTGCCCTTGTCTTTCCCTGGTGGTGGATCCTGAGTCTCTGTGGGCAGAGTTAGGCTGCTCATGGATGGCTGTCTGTCCTCGATGGGACCCTGGGTGTCTGGCTATGTCTCCTGACAGCTCATGGTGGCGCCCTTGTCTTTCCCTGGTGGTGGATCCTGAGTCTCTGTGGGCAGAGTCAGAGTGCCTGTGGATGGCTGTCTGCCCTTGATGGGTCCCTGAGTGTCTGGCTATGTC